TCAGGAAATCCCATTCTAGAGAGTCAAAAGGCTTTTCAAAATCAACGGCCATAACTAAACCTTCAGTTTGCAACTCCTCACATTCATGCATCAAATCATAAAGAAGTCACAAATTTTCGCCTATAAAACGATTCTTGAGAAAGCCGGCCTGTTCTTTTGAGATAATTGAGGGAAAGACTTTTTAAAGTCTATTCGCCAGACAAGCTGAGGCCAACTTATATGAAGCATTAAGCAGTGAAATTGGTCGTCAGTTAGTTAGGAACTCCCTTGGTTTATTTCCTTTCGGGATGGAGATAATCATACCGAATCTTTGAATAGCGGAAAATTGAGTTTCTTTGTAACTGTGATCTAATTAAGAATTCGCCAATATCATCCCAGAAGGTTTTATAAAATTCTACCGTAAAGCCGTCTGAGCCTGGGAACTTTTTCTGTTTTACAATTTTTTAGAGCTTGAGCTACCTCTTCTGCAGATATTTCACCTTCTAATGACATTTTCTGTTGCTCCGACAACCTTGGCCAATTCTGCCAGTCTATCTCATGATTCGGATTCAATTGTGATCGGCGACTCTCATAGAGTTGTGAATAGAACTTTCTTTGTTCTGTTAGAATATCTGCTTGACTTCTGATAATCCCATTTTCTGTCTGCAATTTAAATATGAGTTTCTCTCGTAGTTTCGTTTCTCTAGATTGCAAAAGTATTTGGTGGGCTTTTCCCCTTTTTCAAACCATCTAAACCTTGACCTTAACATCACTCCAGCGATTTTTTCTTCGCGAATTTGTTTTAGCCGCGCCTTTGCTTCCTCCAGAAGGCTAAAAGTGTCATTATTAGGTTCTTTATCTACTCTATTTTTGTATTGTTCTATCTTAGAGACAAACGCCTGTTCCTCCAGATTCGCTTGCTTTTTTTCTCTGAATGCTATAGCGGATAGTCGCCGATCGAATTTGCATCAGAAGAACTTCATAGAAAAGTTGATCGTTAATTGAAAACTGGGTTTGATTCATATCCGAATTTGGATTTTTTTTTCAGTACAGGAAGACGGGAGGGCATATTCTTGAATTGTTTCGGCTATGCAGTTCTTGACTGAATTTCTGTATTCGTCCTCGACTAACAATGCATTATTGAATTTCCATGTACCTCTTCCTTTTCAACTTTTGTCACAACAATTTCCAAAGAAATCAATGCGTGATCGGTTCTATAACCCGGAAAAATGTCGGCTTTCTCAATTCTGTTATAGATATCCTTAGACGCCAAAAAAATAATCCAAACGCACCATCTTCAGTGGAGTTCTTTGATACCACGTAAAACTCCTTGCATCAAAATGGTGCGCTCTCCAAGCATCAATTAGGTCAAAATTCGATATGAGCCGAAGGACGGCTCCTTTAGCTCTTGGGTTATTCGAGTGAAGATATCCATGAGTATTCTGATCATAATCTTGCACAACATTCTAGTCTCCACAGAGAACTAAGGATGCATTTCCCATTTCTAAAATTCTTCTTCCAATTTCTTAAAAAAAGAAGGGGTCGTCATGATTAGGTCCGTACAAAACTACAAGGGTTAATCTCATTTGGTTTTCAACCTCCAGATCGTGTAACAAGTATCGGCCCTGGTTGTCCTTGAAAACTGACCCTGTGCATTTTTTGCTGAAAAGAAGCTCTGAAGAGGATAGCAATGCCCCTCTGATTGGTATTGTAACTCGAAAATATGCACTCAAATCCCCACTCAGCACGATACCAGGATTCTGATTCAGGCAAAAAGTGTGTGTCTACCAAGCAGATAATATCACACATTCACATTTTTTTCCTCAGAGGTAATGAAATACATCAATCCTCTGCTCTATCGTGCAATCCTCTGCAGTTCATGGAGACAATCGTAAACATAGAAGGAAAGAGGGGGTCCTAATGCAGTTCCTACTTTACCATGTAATTAACTCTTGAGTGTTCGTTATGTACGACAGATTTTCATTTTCCGGGACGAAAATTTTAAGTGGGTGCGTATTCGTTAAACCAGCGAGAATCCTTATTCTTACGCGGGGAAAGAGTCCTGGGGTCCTTGAGTGAAAGCTGTCAAGACAAAAAGCATGGCGGTATCAGCATGGCTGATTGATGAAGAGAAAAAGAAGAGATTAGCAAGTAGACAAGAAAGCATTATGGTTCTGTCGGGGGTAGAAGATTGGAGAAGAGGTTTATCTCATTGGTGTCTTTCACGTCTAGACACAGACACTGATTCCCGATATGTGTCCCACCTTTTCTGACCGTTGAAAAACTGGAGGATGACTGCTACTCCTCGGATAACCACTCTTGTCTTCTTTTTCTCCACGCGTCGAAGTCGATATCCTATTTCCTCCAGACGTTGCCTTTCGTTGCGAAGTGCCGATGGAACATCTATCCTGCAGGTGATGCCTGTGTGTTTGTCCTTGAGATTCTTGAGGTTTAATGTTGTTAATGGAAATGTTGTCGCAGTTGGCGCACAATCGAGCAGACAGGGGGAGAAAGGAAGGGAAGCAAAAAGAGAAAGAATTATTTGTTTGCAACAGTTAAAGTTATACCAGCGGGCCCCACAGGTGGCGAAATAAAGTGTATTGTGAGGGGGAAAACTCAGTAGCGGCTCGTTAGAGCCGCTACTGAGGGAGGCAAGGGAGGTCCGGCCTCCAAAAATTCTCAGGAGGCACTTCCCATGGGATTGGAAAATATCCATTAAAATATCAAATGCAGTCGACTCTTCATAATGGAATACTCCGCTTATTGGAATGCCATTGCACGGTGCCGATTTACGATACGATACAGTAAATAGTTTCGATTATTGGAATACTCCGGATCATAGAATAAATTTCGCTGGTCCCGGGAGTTTTCCAGTATGCGGAGTCGACTGTATCTGAAGAAATCTCTAAAAACCATTGGATTCTTTCTCAATCGACACAAAACGAGCGAAGTCTGGTCTCTGACAATTGATTCCTGCCCAGAATCGCTGATGGGAAGCCAGAGCCTGGAGACCTCTCCTGGCTCCTAGCAGGGCATATGAAAAAATCAGGAATCTCCTTGAAAAAAAAAGAGAAAAAACCAGAACTGCACAATGCAGTGCCTGCCCCCCTTGCGGAATGTGAAAATTTAGAATAAAAATTCGATTTAGTACCATTTTAAAGTGAAGTTTTTGGTTCAAAATGTAATTCTTGTCAAGTTTTGAACTGCGCATACCTGTTACAACTGCACATTTAAATATACCCTGGCTCCTAGATAATGCATAGGGGCATCTCGTAGCATTAGCAATGCCGTAATATACGAGAGCTGGGAGGCTGATCTCACCGTCTGGATTGCGCATGAGCGAGTAAGAACTGCTCCTTTGCCTCAAGTTGTTCGATCATCTGAGTTCACAATGCCAATTTATGTCCACGCAGTTGCCATGGATGTAAAAGACACATATTTTATATAATCATGATATTCGCAAGGTGAGCTGGATGCGATTTTGTTTAGAAGTTCAGAAACTCGCATGGAGAGAAAGTCGTCAGACTACTAATTTTCTCCTCGGACCGGATACATCTTTACCATACGCTCTATGGTTTCTACTCTTCCTCAGACGTTCGATGGATGTTTTGATTTCCGTTCAGCTTTTGCATGATTTCGATTCAGCATAAACTATGAACATGAAACGTTTTCTCGCTCAGTCTATTGCTTTTTACCTGTCAATTCAAGAAGTGCGACTTATCTGGCGACAAGACTGACCTAAGCACACCTGTCGTGCTTCGTGCTTCCATTAATAATACAATTAATTCTTGTTCATTATGAATATCATATTTCTGCCACTCCAGATTTTTCGCCCGCGAGCCGCAACTGGGAGAACGATACGACTCCCTTTCGACGTGATTTTGCTCTTGGGGCCTTCCCCACTGCTCAATGAAGTCCAAGTCTTCCCTTGGAAGGTGGTGAAGAAAGTAGGTGAAAGCGAATGGGAACGGTGTTCCATATTTCGGGCAAGAACTTAAAAAAAATATACAGGGTGTCCATAAAGTCTCTTTACAATTTAAAAAATTTATTAAAAAATCAAATGAAAAGATAAATATTTGGAAATTATTACAAAATGAGAAGTAGATATTGAAGTTTTTCTCCATCATTTAATACACCTCTATATGGGCACCATTAGTTGCACGAAGCACATCAAGACGGTACTCGATTTCTTGCCATGTTCGCTGTAGCATAGCCTCATCGATGGTGGCAATGGCATCAGTGATCTAAATACCTCTTTCATCAACGTGGTACCTGAAATACACAAATGCAATGTGATTAAAAACTTTGATAACCACTTAGTACATAGAACAAATTTGATTAAGATATCTCATCAATTGCCTTTGTAATAAATTTTTTAAATTGTAAAGAGACTTTATGGACACCCTGTATATATTTCCGATTGTGACTCAAGGAATAATGACTACAAGGAGAGGGACTAGTGGGGAGGAGAGTTCGACGCATTACTCCCTCTTTTATATCGTTCCCATACTTTTAAAGGCCGACTTTCACCGATAGTGGGACTTAAGCAGGACCGGATTAAGAAGTTGCGAGGCCCGGGGCAAGTGAATTCCTGGGGCTCCCCCCCTCCCCTCCCCGCTTCTTTACACAAATACAATACTTTTTTTGACTTAACGTTTTTCATTTCCTTCGGGGGCCCCCTGGAAGAGTGGGTCCCGGGGCAACTGCTCCCTATGCCTCCCCCCCCTCCCCTTAATCCGGCCCTGGACTTAGGGTTAAAAATTCCTATTTTCTACTGCTTAAGTTCCATTAAAGCAGTGATGCACAACCCGCGGTGACTTTTTTTTGTGGCCCCTTGGATGCCTCCGGTCTCTAAAGATTCATATTAATATGCGACCGATTTCGGCTCATATTCGAGGGCCTGCGGCCCTCGAACATGAAACGAAGTCTCAATTTGGTCCTATAGGGGTAAAAGGTTGTGCACCACTGCATTAAAGTATACGCAAAATAATGTTCCATTCCAAGTGCGTGGCAGCCCTGCGCACACATGTACGCACCAGTGGTACGCACTCCATCCACTTTTACGGAGACAAGGCTCCCTTTCGTTTGTACTAACGTTAGTGTCTGCAGCGCAATTATTTGTGTCGTGGTTTGCAACTTTGCCATGAAGTTAGCTTTAGTGCTGTGCATTATTGCGGCTGTCACGGGCTCGCCATCTGTATCGAGGGATGTCGCTCCCGGCGAATTGGGAAGGTAGGAGCAAGATTTTGGTCTAACACTACTTGGTTGAAGTGGCTGTAAACAGTGGCGTAGGGTTTCGCCAATTCGCTAGAAATTCCTCCTGGGGCGAAGGAGGGAGGGCTAAAACCAGACTTGAGGGGACTTGATGCATTTATGCCAGTTGGAGGGGGGGGGGGGGGGATAAAACTAAACTTGAGGGACTTAACCCATCCGCTGACACCCGTCCGAGGGACGGGCTCGGTATACCGTCTGCCAGACAAGTTTACTTACATATATGAGTAGAACCAAGTGCATTCACACAAAAGGAATTCCCCGGATGACCACTGGGTGTGATTGCTTGAGTGTGCATTGATGAAATTTTTTGCAAATTGAATGGTTACTAACGGCTTGCGGTCGCTACGCAGGCCGTCTAATGGACGGAAATGTGAAAATATTTACATAAAGATGGGAAGCAGTTTGGTTCAAACCAAACGTTAAAAATTTTCAAACAAACCTTGAGAAGTTCAAAAGTGTTGCAGCCCTGCTAATTTTATTATCATTGAGACCACACCTCACAAATAAATTATGTATGAAGCAATGAATCATGAATGGAAAAGACCATATCCAATTTGAAAAGCAACAACTGAGGAAAAATAATTTATTTTGGAAGTCAATATGAGAAAAATATCAGCCTCCTTCAATTTTTATAGCCTAGCCAGCCTATGGCCCAGAATGGCATAGTTTTGTAGGCCTCGTGCATTAGGGGCGACAGCCACTACAACTTTTGACCTCTTTCAATGGTCAGCGTATATGGGTTAAGCCTCCCCCCTCACTATGCCACTGGCTGTAAGAAGAGCTGATACTGATGGGATGTATTCTAGGATTGAAAATTGAACACCCAGGATGCACTTGAACCCTGATGGCTCCAAACATTTGTGATTAATTTTACCCCCCCCCCCCCCTCCCTTTGGGAGTAATTATTTGCAGAGTTGGCTTGAAGACTACCACGATTTTCCAGTGAATTTGTAATACCCATAATGTGGACTCCATAAGCATTGTCATTTTTATCATGGGAGATATGCCCTCATCACGTTGAATGCATCACAGGAATAAGATTGCACTATGTAAAAAGTGGTATGGATTCAATTGCAAATGACTACCTGCTACTTCAATATCAAAGACATAAGGTGTTGGGCAAGGGTCTCTTGCAATCCTGTGATAGACCTACATACAAAGGTCCATCACTGTGTATTTTGATTAAACAAACATAACCTATTCTGAAAAACTTCTCTACATCTATCATGGCACATCCCGTGATGGCAGGCAACATGGGTGCCAAGTAGGGTAAGGCCAGGCCTTGCCTGTGCCATGTTGCCTAAACACTGGAATGCACAGGGTATTCATTCAGCATTCATTACTAGATGTTCATATGATTACATCTTCATATATCATAGCAGTTAGAATAGATTGTGACATGCCTGGAAATCCAAACCCTCAGTTGGCAAATGGTAGCCATTATTTGGTGAAAGAATGAAAAATCCTTATGCTTTGTTGGTAAGGCTGAAAGGCTGGTTCAATTCTGGCAGCCACAATATTGAAGCATATTTTTAACCACTATCTGAAGCAGCAGCAGATGAACCAATGACAAGACATATGCAGACACTGCCACAGCTCATTCATGACTTCCATTCACTTCTTTCACAACCATCTTGAAGTACTGTCTGGAAGCCATCACTACTTACCAGTAGAGATGTCACAATGGCTCTTTTGAAAAGCAATGCATTGACCAGAACCATTAGTGGTACATCAACGCATTGGAAAAATCCTCCTGAACACTGGAAAAGTGGAGTGGTTTGGTAATAGATTCCACCATCTCTGCATGATTGGGGGTTGAATTTTACCTTCCTACCTTTCTCACTCATTTATTGGGGTGGGAGAGGTGCTAAGCAAGGCATTTGTAAATATTTTGCATAGATCTATGGAATGCCATTGAACTTCAATAATTTTGCTATATTATCTACCTGCTACCCAATTCATTTAAATTTTCCCATAATCATGGAAAGTCTGCTCTGCTATAATTTGGAGAATCTCTTCTCTATTAAACCAATTATACTCTGCATTCACTTTATGTCAAATGATTGGATGAGTCATATGATCAGAGTGAGAGGCTTTGCAAGATTGGATTTTGACTGAATGGACTCTTTTTGTTCAGGGTGAAGCTATACCGCATTCAGAGTGTGAGAAATCACCTTCGAGAAGTTGGCACTCAAGTGGAACTGCAGCATGAGAAATGGAGTGCTACTGGACCAACACCAGAACCACTATCCAATTACCTTGATGTAACCATCTTTTCCATACCTGAAGCACTTTCTTCAGGAGTCTGTATTTTATATTGTATTATTTATATGTCTTTCCAGGCCCAGTATTATGGACCCATCAGCATTGGCACTCCACCACAGCCTTTCCGAGTTGTGTTTGACACTGGATCATCCAACCTATGGGTGCCTTCCAAGAAGTGTCACTTCACTGACATCGCATGCTGTGAGATTATCTGATGCATTCTTGGCCTATTGATATGGTAGTTGTAGTCAAGTGAAAAAGATAAATGTAAGGCAGACAAAGATAGTTATTGCATTCAGCACCTTTGTACTTCTCTGGGGCTGGGCTTGGGAGCTGGAAAGGGGACATCATCTGACTTCAAAATTGTGAATTGTGTATAACTTTTTGTTCACCTCTAAAGAAAACCAGTTGAGGCTCAATACTTTGCAAATTTCAGTAAGCCACAACATTATATTCCTTTTATATCCCAGACAAAGAGCTGGGTAGTATCTGTCATCTGCACCAAAAGCATAATAGGTTATCTTTGTACAATGCTAAAAAAGAAAAGCTTCACCCACATCCCAGGGTAAAAAAAAAAAATTATAAAATAATAATAATATTCATTTGAGCAATGATAAATTGACTGCTGCAATTACATTTCATCCTCTATCCACACAAATTCAGATATGAGAGAACACATATTCCTCTAATGCCTATTGAGATTTAGATCTGCTACACTCTCCATTAGGCAGGATTGTGGAAATTTCCTTGTACAAATCATTTAGCATTTAGGAATCTGTCTCTGATACCTGTAGTCTGGTCTCCATAAATATTTGTCAAAATCTGTCCTTTCTTGTGCCATCACCTTTAGTTTTAAAACTTTTTGATTGGCAAATGTAAGTTCAACCTGCAAATTTTATGGGCTCTCATATAACAGGTGTCTGCAAAACTTGCTGGTCAAAGGGTTAAAAAACTTTTAAAGCCTTTCAAAAAGCTGGCTATTGGTTTTTTCTTTGAGAATTTAATTTGAGAAATTAATAGAGGAGGCCTACAAGTTTAATTTCTTAAAGGCTAACCTGCATTCAGACCTAGTTGTCCTATAGTGTTGTTCAAAGACAGCATGTTGTGGGTTTTGATAGATCATTATGCACCTTTCTGACTCACTGTAGTCTTTTTTGATAACAGAAAGTGGAGACCACTTGCCTAGATGAGCAGTGGAAGGGGCATGCAAAGCACTTTAATGGGGCACCTAAAATTTCATTTGATGTGAAACAGCTTGCTAATTTAAAAAAAAAATTAACCACGTGGGTGGAATCTATTTAGGAGGGGAAACCTAAGAAGATATGGATGTGCATGAAAAATTAATGTGCCAAAGGCGCAGCTGCTTCTCTGAGGACCCTCTCTTTGCCTATCCTGACTCAATAAGTCCTGACATTACATCCAAGCTATTGGTTATTGATTTTCCACAGTCAGGTCCTCAAGAGCTTCACATGAAGCTCTTGAGACATGATGTTCGTATACATGTTCCTGTTGAAAGCTGTTAATGCACAGCAGACAGCATGCTCACTAGTATGTTTGACAGCCTTGCATACCTACTGAAACTATGATCTTCTAGAGGGGATTTTATACTGGAAATGCTTTGTTGGACTGTTGTAGCAAGCCCTCTGTGACTGTCAAGGCTAAAATACTTGCCCTAAATCTTTTCAATTGTCAGTGCTTCATCACAAGTATGACAGCTCCAAGTCCAGCACATACATGCAGAATGGAACAGAATTTGAGATCAGATATGGAACTGGGAGTCTGACAGGCTTCTTGTCCACTGATACCGTTACTGTGAGCTGCCAACACTTCATCAATGTCTTATATTTTGCCCAAAATATTCTTTCTTGGTTAAACATACTTAATATATTTTACTTTTCAGATTGGTGATGTTGAAGTGAAAGGCCAAACATTCGCAGAAGCTGTGAGCCAGCCAGGTTTGACTTTTGTTGCTGCCAAATTTGATGGCATCCTTGGAATGGGATACCCAACAATATCTGTTGATAAGGTCACAACAGTGTTTGAGAACTTAGTTCAACAACATCTCATTCAGAATCCTGTATTCTCCTTTTACCTCAATCGGTATGTCATTTTGAAAGGAAAACCACAATTATTAGCTAGTGGCTTTATATTTTTTCTTATAGGTTTCTTTATTCTGTATTGACATAGTGACCCTTCAGCTGCTGAAGGTGGAGAACTGATTCTAGGAGGTTCTGACCCAAAATACTACAAGGGGCCATTTACCTATGTTCCTGTCACACGTGAGGGATATTGGCAGTTCCAGATGGATAAGTAAGCTTTGCAAGCATGGAGTTTTTGCTTTCTTCCATGATATCATTAAAGCTGAGACCATGTGTCTTGTGGACAGAGTGAAACTGGGTGATAGTGCTGTATACTGCTCAGAGGGATGCCAGGCTATTGCCGACACAGGCACGTCCCTCATGGCTGGCCCCAGCAAGGAAATCAATGCCCTTAATCAAAAGATCGGTGGACACCCTATCATTGGAGGAGAATACATGGTGAGGATACCAAAACTGACCAGTATGTAGAATTTAGTGATGCAGGAAGAACTCAGAATTTCTTCTCTTCATAGGTTGATTGCTCTTTGATTCCTCAACTCCCTCCCATCCATTTTATTTTTGCTGGAAGAAACTTCACATTGGAGGGCAAGGACTACATCCTCCGAGTATGTGATGCCATTTTGCCATTATAGTTTATAATCAACTTCCCACTCATTAAGTATACTGTATAATTTTTTGTATTCTTTACAGGTATCACAGCTTGGCCACACCATTTGTCTCTCGGGTTTCATTGGGCTTGATGTCCCCCCACCAATGGGTCCACTGTGGATCCTTGGTGATGTTTTTATTGGGAAGTTCTACACCGAGTTTGATATGGGCAACAATCAAATTGGTTTTGCTGAGGCTGTGTAGAACTGCTGATATCTTCTTTTGGGCATTGTTATTTTTAATCTTTGGTTCATATTCTTCATGTTGATTGTGAATTGATCCTGCTCCCACCAGGGCTGGATTAAAAGGTTTCTGGCATTCCTAGGCAGGACATGTTTTTCCCCCCACCTTCACCTCTTAGCACTTTTTGCAGTCTGTCAGTCAAGACAAGCAACTGACAGACTGCAAGATCTTCTGGCTGCCCACCATAATACTATAATATAGTATTGGGTTTAGATTAGGCAGCTCGACGACAGGACACACCCTAGCTTGGGAAGCCAAGGGAACTGGCATTGAAATATTGAATTTTTGCATAAATTTGTTTTTGTCATGCAGTAGCTGGTTGCCCCTAGTTTCCCTATAAATCTTGACCTGCCCTTTTCTGATTTACTTTTGTTTTTTTTAATGAAATCTCCATTGCAAGTAGGTTCTAACTGACCCAACTTTGCTCTGCCAGCATGGCCTCTTTAATGATAACTCATAAATTTGGAGGTATCACTTGCTGATCAAGACCTCAAAGTCCTACCAGACTGACCACCATTCACTGACTATTCATACACCTGTCAAGCATCAAGAGTTCAGTCATGAATATTTCCACCCCCCAGGTTCCACTTGCCTCTGTCTGGCAGAGGAGATAATGGAGAAGTCCCCCTCTCCCTGGCAGGAGAGGAAGGCAGATGACGTTTAATGATCTCTTTCAGGATTAACTTATTCTGGTCTACTGTCATGGGAGTCTGATTGACTGACAGACATTCAATTTTTCTTTGGTGGGTCCTATGTTGGACCTCCCCTGACCCTAAGTTATGCTAGTCCAGAAGTGTCACATGGTACATGGTGAGAGTGCTCATAGAGGAAGTATTTAAATTAGATTTGGCTGGGAATAAAATTGTCAGGAAATATGTGCCAGAATGTGATTAAATGTGCTGTAAGGTCGGACCAGAAAGTCCGAGCATATATGCATTTCAGACAAAAAATTACCCTCTAATTGGTTTGGAAACTATTATCATATCCTACAAGGCTGTGATGTTTTTCATGATTATGAATGATGAATCAATTTAAAATGTGTTCTGATTTCTGAAGTGAAAAAATTATTCACTGTTACTCAGTAGTGTGCCAAGAACTTGGATTGTGATGGACTAGCCTAGGTATGAGGAGCAATAAATTCTTCCCTTACATTGAAACAAAAGCTGGCATGGGTGTTTATTCTCCTGATACATAGATCCTGCATGAATGAAGCAATAGAAAAAAAACTCTTGAAACATAAATAACAGCATAAGGAGCTCAATGTACCATCTTAGACTGCCTCCTGCTGATGTCTGTACTTTTGGCATTAGTAACTCATTCTGAAGCCACAGGTTTTTGCAGTGGGAAGTAAGGGAGCAATGCACTCCTCACAGTTTCAAGGCTTTTGCAGCATCTCTTGTTTCCTTCTTCCGTTGGTGTTTCACTTTTGCCACATAGCCTTCTACTAACATGCGTATCTTCATGGGATTGATTTCACCGGACTTGTTGTGGCAAATCTGCAAGACGAATTTATTAAAATTGCATGAATAACTTTCTCAGACCCAGAAAGAATAAAAGCCATAGATTTGACATGTGTGTAAGTCACTTATGTCTTAAAAGGACAATGCTATCCCACTGACAAGCAGAAAATGGGACAGAGTCCATACTAAACTAACCTTTGGGACACATTTTCGCAATACTTCTTTATACATTTCTTTGTCCACCTCTCGTCTTGTGTAGAAGGGCTTCAGGACCACCTTCACTTCTTCAACTACCCGCTCTTGCCGATTGACTTTCTTCAGATACTGGCAATCACAGCAAATGGTTTTGGTGAATGAATCTAAAACTGAATAAATTTATTTTGCTGGAAAATCCTTACCTTTTGTTTGACTTGCATCTCCACAGCAGAGTTTGGCAGCTCTTCCATCACAAACACCTGATTCCAATCTGCAGGTTTTCCTGAGAAAAGAGATATGGAAGTCATGAAATTGTAGATCTAACTTAAAATTTACAAAGATTAACAAATCTGTACCTTCACCAAAAACTTCAACTTTCTTCTTTCCAAGATGTGTACGTGCCTTCTTAGGCTGTGCTTGCTTCCTCACGGGGGACTGTGACCCAAACAGATTCTTGAACTTATCCACAACCTGCTTTTTCTTCTTTCTTAACTTGGGTTTCTTTGTTGGTGACAACTGTAATGGTGATAATCGCTCAGCTGGAGAATATGCTCCATTATTTGTATCCTCTCCTGGTGGCTCAAACAGATCATCCAATTCTGAACTGTCAGGTGAATATGGAGAGTTGGGTGATAACTGCATTTCTGGTTGCACTGTTGTTGAAGAATCTTCTGTTTTTCCAATAGAAGCCTGAGCAGCAACAAGAGTCAATGTCTCCAAGATGTTCTTCATGCCAGAAATAGGGGGGAAAGGCATAGCCTTCTTGGCTGATGTAGGAAAACTGTTTGCTTCAGAACTTGGTGTACTCAAGGGTATCTGTACTCCATTGTCTTCTGTAGAAGGGTCTGGGGCTTCATGCATAGCTTCGTTTAGGGAGATGGCATGAGCTTGTAAAATAGAGCTTAGGTTTCCCTTGGTTGCTGATGGGGTAAGAGTGGATGAGAAAGATGGAGGCTGAGGAGGACCAGAAGCAAACAATGACTGAGGCTCTATGCTGGGTGGCATGAGTGGTGATGTAAATGCTGGTGGTTCAGGTGGATTGGCTAAAGAGAATGCTGGAGACGAGAGTGGTGGAGCAGGTGGGTTTGATAGTGGTAATGCAGGAGAGAGCAGTGGGACTTGAATCACTGGTTCCAGTCTGTCTGACTGGGACTCAGCATCTTGGGAAATGATTTGCTCCCTATCTTCAGTTCTGGTTGAAGTTCCTTGGTCTTGGGCCAACTCAATTGCAGGCTCTTCACTGACTGCTGCAGTATCCACCCTCTCTTCATGTGTCCGATCTTCTAGTCGTAGTGATGGACTCCTTGAGGAGGAGGAGGATGGAGAATCACAAGAATAACGACTTCCTGACCATCTTCGAGAGCGTATGTGCGTTTCTGGAGAAGCATGAAATGTTGCATCACCTTCATCCAAATGGTCAGTTATTGAGCAACTTCTTGATCTTGAGGATTGACTTTGTGAAAGGCATATGGCATGAGACTCCCAGCCAAATGGAGATTGACTGCCTGATTGAGATCTAGATTTTGATTTCTTCCGTGGCCTTCCTTCTCTATGTCTATGTTTCTTGGACCTCCTCTTTGGGGAAGATAATTGATTGTCCATCAATGTAGAACTTTGCTTAGGAGATGGGGAATTCGTAGGTTCAAAGGGATTGTAGGTGTCATCATTTGCCCTGTCCTCACTTGGTAATGGGGAGAAGATGCGATCTATCACAGGAGCTACATCACGACTGAGTTCTGACTCTCTCCGAGTCTCTGATTCTGTCTTATCATTACTTTGAGAGCCCTGAGGTGAGGGGGATTTAGAAGAGGCCTCTTGGAGAGGCTCCTCTGGTTCAGGAATTTCTTCTTCTTCATCAGGGGATGCAAGGGGATTTGACACATTCTGAAGAGCACCCCGTTTGGATACACCCAAAGAGAAACGAACTGAATTAGTTGCATCTTGCTTGAAATCTGACTGAGATTTCCATGATACAATTGGCTTGGAAGATTCTAACTTGTAGCGTCGAATATCGCTCAAAACCTCAATCTCATCATCAGCAGTCTCTCCATCAGATACATCAATTACTTCTATAGGGCCTACTGGTCCTCTCTGGCTACTCTTCCTATTCTTTTCATCTTCATAGTCTGAATCATCTTTCTTCTTTCTTTTCCTCTTCTTGCCTTCTGATTGTGCATCTTTCTTCTTTTGAGAATCAATGACTATCTGTTCCCATGGAGCTGTTCTGAACTCTGTCTCAGTTCTGAATGCAATCACATGTGAAGGCCGAATAGAGACCTTCCTCTCAGTCACCTTTCTTTTTGTCTGCTTCTCTTCATGTCCATCTTTCTTGTTCTGAACATCAATGACTAGCTGGTCCCATGGTGCTGTTTTGGTCTCCAACATAATTCCTTGTGAAGTCTGAAGAGCAGTCATTCTTTTTGCTTTTTTCTTCCCTTCTGGCTGCTCTTTACTTGAAGAATCACTTTGCTTCTTTTTCTTCCTTTTTTTAATCTTTTCTTCTGAGTTCTTCTCTGTATGATTAAACTCATTGAGAGGTGGTGTCACATTTCGTTTCTTTCGTGAAGAGAAGGTTCGGTCTTTGACACGTTGACCTGATCTTCTGGCTGGAGATGGAGACAAGGACAGACTGAGACTGGTGCTAGATGAGCTGGAGCTTGAACTTCGACTGGAACTCTTGCCCTGAGAAGATGATGAATCATGTCTTTGTCTCCTGTGTGTTTTCCTTTTTTGGGGAGATAATGACCTTTTCCGTCCCCTCTTACTGGAGGCAGATGGCTTCTTTTGTGCTTTCCTCCCAGGGGAGGATTCACTCTTGCACTTTTTGGAACTTCTTTGTCGCTGTTCAGCTGTAGGTGAATGACTGTGTTTGTGGCGCTGTTGGCTGTGAGCTCGATGATGAGGGGAAGCACTTGTTCTATGAGAGCTACGAGTTGGAGTCTTCTTGGAATTAGACTTAGACCTGGAGGAGGATCTGCTTTTGTGAATTCCATGCTTATGCTCTGAACTCAAGCTATGTGAAGGAGATCTTTTGTGTCCTTTACTACGATTGTGGCATTGTTGTGGATAAAATGATTGTGCTAGGTCTTCCATTCCTTTGTCATGGTGTTCGTACTGATAAGGGGACACCTCTTCAAAATCAGCAGAGAAGTCCTCATAATATGAGGGATACTCATGTTCTTTTTCATATGGTTCTTCATTGAAACCTTGAGGACTTTGACGTCTCTTGTGGTCATGGGAATGTGGCCTATCACGAATCAGTCTTCTCACATCATACCGAGCAAGGTCTTCCTTCCTCTTGTTGTGACGAGTCACTTTGTTCTCTTTGTTCTCCTCTCCCTTTTTGCCTGGAATCTTGGAACTATCTTGGTCTAGGAAATATGTGTCTTCATCCTGTTGCTTTCCATCACGGTACACACGTCCCCTGGTCGAGATTGATGGCTTCTTCCATGTGGAATCCCCTTCCTTAAGCTCTTCATCTTGGGTGTAGGCCTTTTCTTGAATCACATCATCAATCGACTCCACATCCTTTGTTGTAAATGGAGGTGTGTCTGTCTCTTTATCCTTAATGTTCTTTGTAAATATTTTCCTCATTCTTCTGTCCTCATGATCATGTTTCTTCCTCTTTCCTCTCTTGACTTTCTTGGTGTGACCCCGTTTCTCTTCTTCCTCAATCTCCCCTTCTTCAAGTCCTCGTCCTTCATTACCTTCAAGGTTTCCATCAGAAATGCTTTCAATCCCCTCAATTTCATCAGAGATGCTTTCAGTTCCTTCAAGGAATCCTACATTGCCATCCCTCTGATCTTTGTCCAATTCCATGTCTCCATCACTTACACTTTCCACTGCAACATCACAAAATGACCCACTCTGTTTGTTGCTCTCTTGCCTGCTACCAGTACCTTCCTCTTCTATTTGTTTTCTAGATTGTTCAGTTTCCACACTTGTCTCTTCCTCTTCACTATCCACCTCATTTCTTGAATCATCATGAGCTTTTGATGTACCTTTCCTACCCTCTTCCTTCTGATTCTTCCCATTTCCTTCTTTCAATGACAATTTTAACTCTTTATTCAGTGAGGCTGAAGATTTTCCAACATCTTTGGATTGTGAAAGCTCATCATAGAGTGACTTTTTGGCTACTCGAAAGATCTCATGGACCTGAAGACGTGTGGGCTTCATTTTCAGGGACACCTTCACTCCTCCTACTGGTTTCATTGCTACAGTTGCCAACTGCTTTATCCGAGAAGTGGACATAGGTGCTTCTGACAATGAAATGTCACTAGATGAGTTTTCCATGGGTAATGGGATCTCAACAGCATTTACAGGTATGCTCTGTCCCTCTGGAATAGGAATCTCATGAAGATTAGATACATCACCAGCCTCCCCTCTGTTATCAACATCCTTTGAGATTGGAAAATTGTCTTCTGGGTCAGGAGGCAGAGCAATGTCCAAGTCAGGTGATGGAGTTCTGAGAGGTTGAGAGGAGTCTTCCTCCAAGGATGTTGAGAAACTTGGGGGCTTTGGAGGCTCTGGGAGGTCAATGATCATGTGGAATTCATCCTCACCATCTGATCCCACTCCTGATTCAGTTTGACTATTTGTTAGTCTGCTCTCTTGCTTCTCATTTTCACTCTCATTTGATTCATCATCTGATGGTTGGATTTCCATGTCACTATAAAGATCCACATCATCTTCTCTTGATGGAGGAAGAGGGATGTTACCCAAGACTCCTGAAGGTACATGAGACGTCCCTGACTGAGTAATATGAGAGGATATTCGTACAGAACTCTGCTGACTCTGAGAACCATGTGAATAACTGTGAGGTGGCTCTTGTCCTGAAGATGAGAACATAGGAGCACTCCGAGTATGGTTCTGAGACCCAGCTTGATTTGTGAAAGACTTCTTAGGTCTGGGTTTCACTGTTCCATCACGGTGGATCATTATATCAGATGAAGTTGCAAGAAGGAAGTTTTCCTGTGTTTCTAGAAGACTTCCCAACAAGTCTCCAGAAGCTGGTTCTGTCTTGAACCGCTGGACCCGATTCAGAGGATGCCGAACATCAGAATGAGAGGTTAAAATCTGAGTCTCCCCATGACCAAGTGCCATACTTTGCCCCTCCCTGCAGGGATGGGAATATCTGTTCAGTAAACAAATACAAATTAAAATAAAAAGAATAAAATACAGTGTTGTATCACTCACTCTGCTTGTTCTGGGACCCAATCCAGTTCATTACGTGAACCAAAGATGCTGAGATGTGGAGCAGCCGACCTGTGGGTTAATATTCTCGTAGAACTGAAAGTGGTATCAGAAGTCACTGAGCCAGGACCCCATGCAGCAGAACTGAGTGCCTTGGCACGTGGTAGTATACGTCCTGGTAATGGAGGGGCCAAACCAAGTTGTTGTGCCAAACGACATCGAACTGACCTCGGTACCTTGGTCAAGTCACGTGAGCCCCTCCCCCGACCACTCTAAGGATTATGAATAAAAAATGTTTACTCATAATATAGACCATCATGGAATGTCGTGAAAAGAAACAAGGGCCAACCAAAATTCGACTTGTTCTTTTCCTCTTGGTATTCTTGGAGCTTCTTGCTTTTCCCTTTCCTTTTGTTGCTTTTCTTCTCCTTGCTTTCTTCCCACGTGTTTGGCTTTTCTTTTTTCTGGTTGAGGTCAGGCTTCTTCTCCTCCTTAGAAGCCCAGCACTTGATGAGGATGGCTATGACAGTTTACAATCAGACAATATGATAAAGCAAGTAAAGGTAAAAACTAAAACCTGAAATACGTAATCAAATTCCAGTGATTATAATTCTGAGATGAATTTTCCTGGCTTTTATTAACATTTTATAGGAAACACCTTTCTCAAAATAATAACCATTCAATACCACTGCAGTTTTCAGCGGGTATGTTAAAAGGCCTGAGTAAATAGCAGTCTCTTCTGCGTTCCTTAAGGTTCATAACACTGTCACATTGACCTTCCTCAACTCATCTGATAAAACCTCAAAGCAAAGAACACAGAGGTAAAGTCCATTGACAAAATGTCTGCACAGCATTGTAAAATAGGTTGAGATAGGAATAAACTCAATGGGAATCAACTCACCTGCCCATGATCAATTCCCACAGGTGCTTCACGAATGACCTGGGCACGAACCTCTCGATTCCTTCCAATCCTGTTGCGAACTCGTTCACTCTGACGAGTCCTTGGAATCACTCTTTGCAGAGGCCTCAGTGTGGGCAAGTTTGGGTCCAACAGATCCTCAGCATCACCCAGAAGCTGATTGATCTCATCTGGATCAAGTGTGGTCTGGAACAATAGAAAGATGACAGACAGCTGACTTCTGAACCCCGGATGTGGGTTTATATCTAAATCTCCCTGTACAGCCTGCTATTATTATTTAAATCATTAGAGATTTGAGGGGGAACAGGCCATTCCAGAGGCCAGTCATGAGTGTTAGGGAGCTACACTGAGTGGTTACTCACAGCCAAATGGGATGCATTGATTTCAATGCAATCGGGACAAAACCACTCCTCCAATGGCACTGCATTCAGTGGTGGGTTTAAGCAGTCCAGATGATACCCTGCATCACAGCTATCACAGAGGAGGAGACGATCCTCTCTGTCATCGGTTCCACACACCTGCAAATGTGTGACTCACTGCTGAAACTTGTATTCAAACATAATTTTTCAAAGAGGTGACAAGGAGTTTTGCTATATGTCAATGTACCTCACAAAGAGTGACATCTTCTTCAGGTTCTTCCTGTTTTGGAGCTGAAGGACGACCTACTATTACTTTCCGGGTGATACCTTCGCCTGAACCAGAACGGGCAAGGATGATATTGAAGGTCTTTCTATCGATTGGACACGTGTTTACATTCTGGAAGGAAGAGACAAAATGGTTTCATACATCTCACAAAAACAATTTTCTTGCATAAAGGAGAACGATAAACTTAGGTAGAATCCTGATCTTGCCTCTTGTACATGACTTCACATTTCACTTCTATTTCTCATGTTCTTTCATACATGCAGGAATGGTTTAGTATATACCTTGGTAACAAATCTACAGATGCAAAATGAGGCAGCCAGAGTTTGGACCAGAGCTCATCAATAACATCTTCCAGTGGAATGGTAAAGTCAAGGGGGGATTATATTACACATGTGATGACATCTGTGAGCCATTCCACTATAAAAACGGGTGCTTAGGCCTTGACGACTCATTACCTCGCTGGTTAAGGCCAAGGCAGGTCGCACATGTTCTTTCTCATCTCTCACAGCCATAATGCAATCTACTTGCATTTGTCAGAGCCACCTAGGCAGCATTGTAGATATATTGCTGATCAGTTTGTTGATTTCAATAATATTCTTAGATTTCTTAATTTCATTCACTCTCTTAGTAGCAGTTGTTATGAAGGACAGTGACAAGGTTTGCATTGTTGCTTCCTGTAATAATACTTATAGGAATTGGCAGGCATAAAATATTTCCTTCCATGAATTTCTGGAATGTCTAGACAGAAAAAATGAATGGCTTCAATCACATGGAAGAAATTATATCCCCAGATATGCTTTTGTGAGCTTGCATCCCTTCTCCTTAGATTCCTATCATGTTTGAAACGCTATTAGGAGCTTGAAAAAAGATGCCATTCCAGCATAGAATCTGGCCTTAGATCCAACACTACCTCCCACATTCACATTAGATGCCCCATCTGACAGTTCATTTCAACAAATGGAGGACCAACAGGACTCCTCATCCCTTGAGAATGAAAACGACATAAAATCAATGCACTGGAAGACCATGAATGCTCCTAGTTTGGAGGTAGAAATCCTTCCTCAGAAGCTGAAGGGAGCACAGGAGCTACTGAAGCTGAGAAAATTATTTTCACCCAGATGATGTAAAAACAGAACAGTCATCAAAGATCTCCAAGGAAACATGTCATTATGATTCAAAAACCTGTCCACAAAGGTGTACTCACAAATACTTAATTGTGAAATAATTTATCAAATGCAATACCCGCTTATCCATCCATTGGCTATTAGGATCATCATACCTACCAGAACTCCTTTAGACTGAGACACCTGAACAGGGAAAATGCAGTGAGGATGAACTGGGATCATTAGGAATCGAAGTGAAAAAATTGGGAATAAAGGTGATGGAAAAAGGATTTTCATGTCAGCTCTGATCCAATGTGAGAAGGTCTGACATCAAATTCACAAAACCCATCCCAAAAAGAGATTTTCAGTGTATAGGACATTTTCACAAGTTTTGGATTTCACAATGTCATATTCTTACATGGGTTCCTGTGCCACAGGCGTGCTTTGCAACCCCATCTACTTACACAGCATACCCTATATTGCGAGCTGTTCCACCCCCAAAGCACGTTTCAACATAGATCTTAGAGGGGTCTCTCTGACCCCCCTGGGTAAAGTGCCAAGAGTAATTCCATCCTTAAAATGCTGCATGTTTCATATCACATCCATTCCACACTTTTCTGAAGATGAAAAGTGTCATACACAGAAGTCACTTCACATGTGGTATCCTTGAATATCATCATGGAGTCAGTTATGTGATAGAATGCTGAAAAAGGAACTTCACCCTTTCACAGTTTCCCAAAGTATATATTTGAACTTGTGTATTGGTAGCCAGACTATGTACTCAGGCTCTGACTCTGACTATTCACTGTTTCTAGGTTATTTCACTGCTGCATGTAACCACCATCTTCAATAGTTTTCATATGACACTTTCAACATAAATTTCTATTATTTTCAGGTAAACAGTCCCAATTTTTATAACATGAAGGGAGTGGCAGATATTTTTTCACAGAACAGTGAAAGGGCTAATATTGCAGGATGGAGAATAACTACTACCTCTTCCCCCTCCCTCCCTCTCCTTACTTTGGTGGACCACCATGAAAAAGGATTCCTGGGTAGGTCCCAGCACTAGCACTTGAGATTGGTAAGTCAGATTGATCTTATTTGGAGGCATGCAAAATCCGAGAGGTTCACCATCACTGCTTCACTACAAATCAGTCCCTATATACAGGGTGGTGCAAAAAAAAAACAGTCCACTTTTTAAACTGGTCTAGAACAGGAACTATTGAAGCTTACCCCTACATACGCTTACACTTACTTACAGCTTACACTTACCCTGTTTCCAAATGTTTCTTTGCTCATTTGTTGGGTGAAACAATTGGATTAAAAGTCCAATTGTTGTAAG